TCGAAAAGAAAAGTGTTGCTGATTGATGAATGGAAGGGGAGGGGAGAGTATAAGAAAGATTTGGTGGTAAGAGAGCCTAAAGGGTCCACTATGGTGGAGACAAAGAGCTGCTGCTGAATGGCATTGGGGAAGCAGCAGCTGCGTCAGTTTGGACTGGTGATGGGCCTCTGGAGGGTCCTGCAGGGCAGGGTAGTTAGGTACAGGGGTCAGTGTTAGACCAGGACAAGGTAAAGGGGAGAGTGGGTGGGTGGGGGGAGATGCCCCAGGTGGGACTTTGAGATTCATTTTAGTTTACAAAGTATAAGGGACCCTTCAGAAAGTGACGAGAAACTGAGGCGAGAGGACCTGCGGTGTGTGTGGGGGGTACTGGCCAGGGCGCCCAGCTCCGAGCCACTCATGCGCTCCATCCTTTCTTTTTTGTTGCCTTCTGAGGCCATTACCACTGTCTTGGTGAGACATGGTTGGCAGGGGCACCCATCCAACTGCCTCACAGAATAAAGCAAGGGAGGGAGGCCCAAGAGTCAGAGCCAAGGGGTTGGCAATGTGAGGTCGGGCAGCCATGTACCTCATCCCTTCCTGGGGTCTCTTCATCAACCCCGGTGAGGGTCTGTCTGGGGGATGGTGGGCCTGCCTTCCCACCCATCAAGGTCTCTCTGGGCAAGAGGGCAACTCTGCTGTGGGAGATGGAGAAAACAGGTCTCACTTTTTGTTTGGGGGCAATCACTGCTCCATCTTTCCTCTAGAAGCATTCCGTGAGGAGTGGAGGAGAATCTGGTATTGGCGGTGGTCACCCCACCTTAGTGTATAGCGACCACCTTGCCTTCTAGAAACAGGGAAGGCAAATAATCCCAAGTCCTGGTTGTCTTAGAACTGTTGGATCTTCCTTGACCCCAGGCTGCCAAAGGCAGAAGATTTAGAAACCTGAACCAATATCCCCCAGACTGAAATTGGCTTCCTTTTCCCAGTTGTTCCACACACAATGCCCAGTGTATTTGAGACAAACACAAGAATTGTGGTCCAAGAGTTGGACGCTGGAGGTGATATGATTGCTGTCAGAAGTATCCTTGAAGCTGACAGACTTCATTGCTTCTGTCTGGTGAGGAAGAAATTTCTTGGGCTGCCGGTACTACAGTACAGACCTCACCCTGGAGGACATACTGGAGAGAGGGGAGAGTGAAGGGCAGTTTGATAAGCTGTATTCTGTGTTCTCAGGTCAGTATGAAGTACATGTGAGATGGCCAGCCAGTAGACAGCCCCCTCCTACTGCATCCCACATTCGACGCCCCATTGCCATCAACCAGGTCAACCAGTCAACAAAGAAACTGTAGAATTTGTATAGACATGTCCACACACCTCAATTTACGAAATGCACGGAAGAGCTGCAAGGGAAGAAGGGAACGGGAGAAGTGGAAGTTTATTTTTCTTGGAAACTATTCCTAAATGGTCTTCCTTTCTCATTTTTTCCCTTTGTAAATAATTTACTTTTAAATTAGCTGAGGTCTTCTCACGTCTTTATATGTTTATCATTTAAATGGGTAAAAAATGGAGGCAAGTTTGCTCAGTGGTTAAGAAAAGATGCAGGCTGTAGAGCTGGGGACATCTGGTTTCTAAGCCTGGTTCTGCCACTTAGAGCTGGGTGACCCCTGGACAAGTTGCTTCATCTCTCTAAGTTTGTTTCCTTATCTGTAAACGCAATTAGACTGTTTCAAGAATCAAATGAGATAAATTACGTAAATCATTTATCACAATATCTGCACAAAAGGAACATTCAGTAAAAGTTCATCCCAATCATTCTGCTGATGGCCATTATTATTATTATCCTTTCATGTTCCCTAGAGATCATGACTGAATAGGAAGTGACTGGTGAGCAGAAACTCCCTAAAGGCTTGAGGGGATTTACAGAAGTTCTATTCCATTCTCTTGCCTCCAGCTCTGCTATTCCTGGGGTTTCTTGGGTTTTAGAAGCCCCGGGGTAAGTTATTGAACCCTTACTTGGAGACTTATGGCTCATAGAGAGGAGTTATTACAGTTCAGACATCTCAGCTATAGCCCATTTAGGTCTCACCAAGAGATGGAAAAGAATTCTAACAGTACCACTCTACGGTTTGAGAGCACTTGCCATGTGCCAGGTACCGCTGTTATGTGACCAAGAGCAGTGCCCAGATTACTCGGAGGTGGCGGATGTTTCCACAGTGGAGTTTAATTAAGCAAGCAAAGGGGATTTAGGAAAATTTCAGATTAGTATTTTTCAAAGACTCTTAGTCACTTCTCCGAAAAGCAAATTGCCAAGAACCAATTTACTAAAAGCTAGTTCTCAAAAAAATCAGTTTGCCAAATGACCAGTTCACTAAAAACAGAAAAAAAAAAACAACTTTAAACCAAGACTAGGATGTTTCGCCATGATCATAATACTCCCCAGAGGCACAGGCAAAGTGTGAGTACAGAAAAAAAATTTTGACTAAGTCAGTTAACTTCCTTTAAGGGAAAGTCTGTTTGCATAAAAAATTCAGAGGCAGAGGTGAAACCAACCTTTAAAAAACTCTGTACGAATGAAGTAAATTGGTAATTTGAATTTATTTTTAGCAACTTGGCCTGCTCCTTTTTGAAATGGATTATTTATTTTTTAATTATCTGGTGCTGACGATGTCGTTAAAGTGTGCATAGGTTTTTGTTTGTTTATTTTACTAACTAAAGGCCATACTTCGTTGAGATTTTCTTAGTTTTTACTTAATGTCTCTTTCCTGTTCCAGGATCCTGTCCAGGACACTACATTACTTTTAGTTGTCATATCTCGTTAAGCTCCTCTTGGCTGTGACAATTTCTCAGACTTTCCTTGTTTTTGATGACCTTGACAGTTTTAAGGAGTATTGGTCAGGCATATTGTAGGATACCTCTCTATTGGAATTTATCCGGTGTCTTTTTCTCATGGTTAGATTGAAGTAATAATGAGTTTTGGGGAGGTAAAGACAATAGAGGTAAAGTACCATTCTCATTACATCATAATCAAGGGTACCTACTGTCAACATGACTTTCACTGTTGGTGTTTTATCTTGGTCACCTGGCTGAGGTAGTGTTTATCAAGTTTCTCCACTGTAAAGTTAGTCTTTTTACCCCTTCTCCATGCTGTACTCTTTGTGTGCATAAGGTTTGATTTTTCTTTTCTCTCTGATAAAGTACAAACTTTTACATTGCTCGAGAAACAAATGGGCCCTGAGACATCAGTGTCATGCATACAGGACTGATTTCAGGCACTATTTCCAGTTCTGTCATGTCTCAACTCATTCCAAAATGCATTTTCCTCCAGAAATCCAGACATCATTGTGACTTTTACCCTTCTCTTTCCAGGTCAAAAGGCTGAGTTCCAAGTTGTGGACTCAGTAGACTCAAAGGGGATGTTGACAATGAAATTGCCCCAACCAATAACCATTGCAGGGTCTTCCATGGGTCCCAGGAACAGAGAATCGAGATATTGGAGCCCCGGATATCCCAGCAATATCTGAATTCCCTTGAGAACAGGTGAGGCTGGAGATGGGCAGCAGTGGGGAGGTTAAGAAGGAGCAGCTATTCTGGGTATCAAGGGCATCTGAGTTGAGAGCACCCTGGCTGGTTCAGCCTCTCACTCCCTCAACACAGTCTTACTCGAGCATGCTGCCTTCTTTTCCACCTTCAGGAAGCCTTTTCGCTCTTCCAGGATCAGCCTCCAGGAAACTTTCTGACCCCCCTCAATTCACTCGCATCCCTGCTACGCTCCAGGGTGACTGATTTCTCTGACTTGGACCAAAGCTACTGGTTTCAAGAGGCTCCTCTTCTCTTCTCTGTTTTCCTAGATAGTATTGTTTCAATCTGTATTTTTGTGCTTGTTTTACTCTGCCTTGTGGCAAGCCAGAGGTTTCCATGCCCCTCTCCCTCGCTGGACTAAGAAAACTCTTGACCAGAGACTGTCTTTACTAACCTCTCTTTGTTTGTCCCTAGCACACAGTAGGTACTCAGTAAGAGAGCTGAAGTGAAGCACAGTGCAATCAAAGCACCCTCGTAGAACATTTCCTGCATAGACAGTGCCACCACCCCAGCACACCAGGGTGGAACCAGTCAAGTGCCACAGAGGTTCTGATTGCTGAGGGCATTCCAAAGGACTTAAAGGCACACTACCAGCCTTTCTTTCCCTTTAGCAATTATTTTATTTTTGGTGTTTTCTTCTAGCTGCTTATCCAGGGGCTAGTCCTCCAGGTGAATGAGGTGGATACCTTTTGTTTTTCCTTTTTAATTTAAAACTGAAAGGCTTACAGTGAAATTTTACTTGTTTTTTGAACTACACTTCCCCACCACAGTATTGCTGGGGAGGGGCCTTTGAAGTTTTTCAAAGGGAACTCAGTTTTTCTTGAACACCTGTTGTTTCTCGTATGAGGCTATATGGTGTGTTTATAGAGAGTTGGGGGGAGGGTACTGGACAGGTAGAAGAAGGTCAGCGAAAGCAAGGATGTAGATCTTCCTTGAGGGTTTTTTGGTTGCAACTATCAGAAGCTCCATCTGGCTACTTTTAGTCACAAAATGAAGTTTCTTCTGGAATCAGAGATGCTTCCTGGAGCCCAAGAGTGGACAATGCAGCTCAGGGACCAGTGCGAGGAGCTGGAGCATCTTCTCAGAGAAGAGGGTGTTATGGGCTAGGCAGATGCCTATCTCAGTACTATGAGAAGGGCACATGCATTGGACTCATATAGACTAAGTTTTGAATTCCAGCTCTACACTTGTCATCTGTGTAACCTTGGACTACTTACCTCTTGTTCCTAAGCCTCAATTTCCTCGTGAAAAATGAGTGCACTTCTGCCTAAATCATAGGGTCGCGGTGAGGGTGAAACGAAATAGTGTATGGAGGATCTTGTGGTGCTGGCACATCGTAGTCTTCCGTAAAGGCTAGTGAGCTAGCTCCCTTTCCACTTTGCACCCTACTGCTCCCACAGTGGATAAAATGAACTGTGATGGGGATGCTGTGTGCCTTGGTTTTCCAGCCTCAGAAGCATTTCATCTCAAATAGGAAGTAGCTGATGGAGAGGGAGAAATGTCACTGGGAGGTGGGGCCCTGAGATCCTGAACTCTCATCCCCACCACCATTCTCTCCGGGAAGCTGAAGAGAAAACTACCCACTTCATTCCAATCAATCCAGACAATGAGAGAAGACCTGTATTTGGCGACTGAAACTCTGGAGACAGCAAAGAAGGAAACCCTGAAAAGTGAATACAGATTTGCATTTTGGAGCCAGTTGGATCTTTGCAGTCTGAAATATGAACGCAAGGTTATGGTTCTGGGAGGCAAGGACTAAAGGAGAACCAGCCTGGGCCCACCCACTGTGGGTCAAGAGAATGCCAGCCCAGACTCCAGGCTTTTCAGCTCTTCCTCTAGGCCTCCCTGAGAAATCTTGCCTGCTCCTTGGCTTTCTTATGACTTCTCTTGCCAAGAATGTGTGTGTGGCATTGCTAAGTTCCTCCCTGGTACTCTGTAGTGCTGCCCTGTGTTCATCTGCTTCACAGTACTTCCCACGGTTCATAACTACATGGGGGTTTTTAGCTTATCCATTGTCTGTCTCCCCTTCTAGGAGGCAGGAGGGCAGGAGCCACAGTACCTGGAACAAAACAGGTCTCAATAAACATTTGTTGAATGCGCAGTGGAAACAACTTGAGTTTTGAGGTCAGATTTGGGTTCAAATTTCAGCTCTGCTCCTGTTTTTAGCTGTGAAACTGGCTCACCTACTGACCCTCTCTGAGCCTCGATTCTCTCAACTATAAATAAAATGTGGATGAAATGTCTACCTCCCAGGATTGTTTGAGAGATTAGGCAAGATAACTATGTAAGCACCTAGGGATCAATCGATGTGGGCTGCTTTTTCTTAGCACCAAAGGGCAGTGACTGTCCCCGCCAAGTATGTCCTGGGCTATCGAATAAAGCAGCTAGTCTTCCCCAACATGGAGATGATGAGTAAGTAAGGCTTGGTGGGACAGGCAGGGTTGGGGGAGCACCTGAACACATGAGTAGGGTGGAGGTCGATTCAGCCAGGCTCTGTATCAGCCTGGAGGGGCCCTGGTGAGCTCGAAGATGGGAGTAAATTCCAAGGAAGAGGGAGGGTTCAGGACGGGGAAGAAGGACTGAGGCTCCTTCTTCAGACACCGCTGACCTAGGATATGTTCCATCATGACATTAATCCTTCCTTAGATGCGTTAACTTCCATCTCTCATCTAGTATTTGCTTGTTGTTTTTTTTTTTTTTTTTTTTGGTGGGGGGCAGAGTGTGATGACCGAGGAAAGACAAGAGGAATTTACATAGAGAAAACTGTCTTTCTGATAATTGGTCTGTCTGTCTGTCTGTCTGTCTGTCTGTCTCTCTTGGCATTGGTTTAGATATTTGCTTCTCTGGCAAAACAAAATCCTTTCCAGAAGGTGATTGAGTTTCTGGACATCCTGTTCATTATTCCAGAATGGGCAAAGATACTGTTTTTAAAGGGAATTACAAATAACAAATGGTCTGGAATTATAGAGTTATTAAAGCTAAGAATGTAATGAGGTACACCAAGGGCAGAAACTATGGTAAGGGCAGGAGAAAAAAAATCTACCTGTTGGAGAAGTATGTTGGATTACATGTTGGCCTAGAGTTTCCAGGCTTTGACAACTTTGACTTGCTTTGTGTGGATCAGCGTGCTGGATCTTGGGGCCACAGCCCTTACTGAAGGCTTATTGGCCTAAGAAACACATTTGAATTACCTGGCCAGTTCTCATATGATAGCACTGGCTGTAAAAGGAGGTCTGGACTGGGAGTCATATGGTCTTAGGATCTAGTCCTGGCTCTCCCATTCCTTTACTCTATAGCCTCTTGAGCCATGATTGTCCTGACTTTAAAGTGAACGGGTTAAACTAGACAGATTACACTGAATGTGGCTTCCCTGGAATTTCAGAGTGTTTCCCTGGATCCTAGAAGAATTATACTGCCCGAGAAGCCTTGAGAAGGATTAGATGTGATTGAAAATTCAAAAAATTCCTGGAAGTTTTAGAAGTTGTAGGTTCAGTCCTGGCAAGGTCTTGCTAGCTCAAAAGAGTGAATCTTTGTTATTCTTAAATGTCATAACAGAGGAGCCAGGAGATAGATTCTAGTTCCTGCTCTGACTGAGGGCATGCTGCGCCCTCTTTGGGCTCCTGTTTCTTTTTCAATCATCCAGGCATAATCCTATGGCTGCATATCTCCGAGGATGTGGGAATGGGTCCGCAAATATAGTGCTTTGACACTTACGCACAATGATGAGGATGCAGGCTCCCTGGCATGGGCAGTGAGCTCAGAGTCCAGGAATGAAAACTTCCATCACTGGGAATGGAATGTCCACAGTGGACTAGAGGCGACCAAAAGACTCTCTGAGATTATTCTTCCTTTCTTTGCAGAGAAAGACAGTTCATCTCACCTAGGTAAGGATGGGAGCCAGCTGTGCTCAGGGAGGCTACATCCACTCACCCTTGAGCCCTCTGGCTTCAAGGACTGGCAGCTCAGGTGGTATGCGTGTAGAAGACAGCGGTTGGGACAAAAAGGGCAAGACTGTGCCCAAAGCAAGATTTCAACTTTAGTCTGGAGGTTGCATCTGTCTCCTCTAAACACAGTGGTTCTTGTTGGTTGTATATAGACATCACCTGGGGGAACTTTGAAACTGGTGATGCCTGAATCCCACCTCCAGAAATTTTAATCAATCTGGGGGTGCGGCCTGGGCATCAGGGTTTTTAATTACATCCCAGGTGATTCTCTTGCACAGTCAAGGCTGAGAACTACTGCTCTTACTTCTTCTAAATCTTCACTAATTCTAGTATGGTCTAAAGACTGCACTTGGAATGGCAAGGACTGAATAAGTTTTGATTTCCTGGAGGTGGAGAAGAATTTGGGATTGGTACTAGACTGGAGGTGAGCTAGGGAGATGGAAGTGGGGTCGGTGGGAGACAATGATGGTTGATGTCAGGGAAGAAGAATCCTTCATTTTAACAGGAAAAGATTAGAAGATAGGAAGATATTAGAGGTGATCTCCAGAAGAAAAATAGACAAAGAATGGAGTCTAGAGGGGCCTTGGTAGTGGAGCTAGTTGGGCTGTGTAGGTTGGGTTCTTAATTGCTGCCTCTACAGGGAAGTCCTTGAATTTGAAGGATATCAGAAATATGAAGGAAAGGGTGCAGGACACGGTGAGAGGCCTCCAGGATCTGACTGAAGAGGAGCAAAAAGATGCGCTAAGCTGCCTCACTAAGTGCCTCACCAAGGATGAGCAGCTGCAAGATCTAGAGCAAAGAGTAAGAGGCCCAAAAAAGAACTGGGGTGAAGAGAGGGAGGAACCAGTGAAGAGGGCAGTTGACACACTGCAGACAATCTGCTACAGTGGGACAAACGCTCATCCTCCCATCTCCTGGCCCTAGATGTCCGAGGTCCTGATCTCTGGTGAGCTACAGATGGACAGCCCAGCAGGTCCTCTCATAAGCAGCCTTTTTAATGCTGCTGGGATCTTGGTAGAGACGCGCACAGAGGCCATTATGGATTTCTTGGATGCCGTGATGGGTGAGGAGGGGTCTCCATGTATGCTAGAATGGAGGCAATGCTAAGCAGAGGGACCTGTGGGGAACCAGATCTTAGGAGGAAGGGGGTATACATTGTCTTTACATTTTATGAGGATAAACCATCACATTTCAGAAACTAGCCATCTTCCCCAGGCCAGGAATTGAGGGACTGCCTCCTTTTCCCCCTTGGCACAGTCTATGACTCCTGCAGGCCAAGAGGGAAGCAAGAGCCACAGCAGGTGCCCATTGGAATAACTCCATCTAGGGTCTCTGAAACCTGCTCTGATATTTGTTTTGGGTCTGATCAGATACTAAAGCCCTGTCCCACTATGTGCCTCTCCTCTCTGCCAACCACCCTTTTTTTTTTTTAAACCCCCAGAGCTGTTTGAAGAGAAGGAGCTTGTGGGTGAGGCCCTAGAGAAGGGGACCCTGCCTCTCTTGAAGGAGCAGGTAAGATAGCCTAGGCTGAGGGCTAGGGTCACAGTAGAAGTACATGCTCATGCTCTCAAGGGACCCAGAAGTCCCAGGGTACTGTCCCTTCCTACTTCACAGTTATCTGTCAGCTCACATCCATCCAGCTGGTTTGTGACAATTCCCAGGACATACAGTTTCCAGGACAATTTGGGATGGATTTTTAGGCTCTGTTGCTTGCCTAAAAAGGGGGGCGGGAAACTTGTTAGTCCCAGGATGGCAGTTGGCACCATCTTAAGTGCTAACGCTGATGGGTTAGCAGTACCAATGTCATTATGTTGAGAAGGTATCAGGCTCCCCAGGCTCTGCAGGAAAGATAGATTACTAGGTCTGCCATGATGGATTACTAGGTCTGCCATGAGCTCAGGATTAAGGAGTATGGCCAAGTATTAGTCATTTCTGGTATATTTTCTTGTTCCTAGCTTTTATAGTCTGGTGGGTTTCCTTTTAGGTGGAGTCTGTCCTGGATCAGAACGGGGGTGAGCAGCCCGAATGTGTGGGCTGCGACCCTGAGGCACAGATTCTCCATGCCCTCTATGTTGCTGTCTCCATCCTGCTGCAGCTGAGTGAGAAGCCTGCCTCTGCGTCATCCTAACTATATGTTAGCTCTTTAACCATTCTCTCCACAAACTTCTGGGTGCTCCCCTCCCCGGCCTATCCTCATCCCACCCTGCTTCTCCCCCAGTCACCAGAATGATGTCTTTAAAACAAGCAGTTGGCTCTTCTTTGATACATCCCATTCCCTACATGATAATGTACAAAAACCAGCCTGGTTTGTATGCATAGATTTCTGACTAAAAGTGGCAGAGGGATCATATTAATTTCTTCTCCCTCCTGAAACCTCACTAAATGACAGTAAAGCAATAGAAAAGATATGAACCGAGAAGAGTAAAGAGAGTGAGGCAGCGGGTAAGAGATTGCAACACATCTTTGGAAGCTAGAAAGTAATTACAGGAGTGCAAGCTGGGGGATGTGGGACGGAGAGGAGCAGAGGAATGCAGGAGATGACTTTTTCATCATAAGCCTTTTAGGTCTATTTAATATTTTTAAGATGATGTAATTAAAAGAAATATATGCTTGTTATAAAGCATTTCAAATATTTCTCAAAGTCAAAGGTCAAGGTATTCTGTGCTCCCTCATTCCCTCTGATATATAACCACTATTAACATTTTGGGGTATGTTAACATTTTTCTGGTGCAACAGTTTTTAAAAATGTAATTTAAAAATGAATCTAGGATGATATAAATTTGTTTTGGATCTTTGGAACTAAGTTATCTTTTCTTTTAAATATGTAAAGATATTACACGCAACGGGAATTCTCGTAAATGCTGTTAGGAGTATATATTGGTCAAGCACTTAGGAAGGTTGCTTGACAGTATCTACTGAAGCTAAACATATGGCCATGACCCAGCAACTCCACTTCCTAGGCATCTTCCTGAGAGAAATGAGTGCACGTATTCATCAAAAGACATGCGTATACAGGAACGTTAACATAAGAGCTCCAAGCTGAAAACTCTTTGAACGTCCAGTAACATTAGGAAGGATACATATATTGTGGTATGTTTATACAATAAAAGAGAACAAATTGCTGCTATGTGTAAAAATGTGGATAACTCTCACATACATAATGCTGAGCAGATGAAAGAACATAATTATGTTTGAGTCCTCTGAGAAGCAGATGCCAAAATGGAATTAGACGTGCAAAAGACTTAATAGAGGAAAAGCCTGTGAAGAAAAAATGGGACAGGGAGCAGAAAGAGGCATGGCAGGCCTTCAAATGACAATGCAGGTCTAAAAACTGTGAAAGGAGTGACGGAAGGAAGGATCGAGTAGGAAGAGTCTCAGACTGCAGTACAGTTCTGAGAGTCTCAGCCAAGCTGACCTGAACAAAGGTCATCTACTGGAGGCA